CCCACGGGCGCTCCCTGCTTCCCTCCTTGCCTGCCGGCCGCGTCCGCACCCACTTTCGGGAGGTTCGCCTTGCCTGCGCGCAATTCTGCACCCCGTTAACGGAGTCCCCCCCCCCCTACGGCCCCAGTGCCAAGCTCATTGTTTCCGCGCAAGATGCTCGGGCGGCTTTCGCCCCACGACCAGGCGAGGAGGAGGAGGAGGAGGAGGAGGAGGAGGCGTGGGTCGGTCCCAAATTCTGCCCTCCCAAGCCCGCTAGCGCCCTGGCATGGTGGCACCCAGCCTCGCCGACACGCACGAAGCCCGGCAGGGCAGAGGGAAGGCAAGCCGGGGATTGGGGGGGGGGGTGGCGGGTGAAGACAAGGGTGAGGCAAGCCAAGGGGTGGGGGGGTGTCTCTCCCTCCCTCCCTCCGCCCCAAAAGAGGCAGCGCCTTGCCGGAGGGTCCCCCAGGTGAGACGTCCGGCAAAGCGCAAAGGGAGCCAGCGGGCAGCAAAGCCGCCGGAGCTGGGCAATGGCTGGGGTCCCGGCGTCGCCCCCTTTGCTTCCCCCCCAACACACACACACACACACACACACACACACACACACACACACGCCTCCAGATAATAAAGGTTGAGGCGTACCTGCGGTGCCCAGCAGAAGCCAAGTCCAGACGAGGTCCGTGCTTTGCAGCATTGTCACCGGCCGGCCGCCGCGGAAGTTGCGCTGCAGAGATTTCTTTCGCTGGACCAGATACAGATGTGACGATGCCCGGGTTGATCTATTCCCTCTTCTTCACTAGGAACCTGGGTGGGTCAATCCGGGAGATGCCAGGCGAGGAGGGAGGGGGGAGGAAAAGGGGGGGAAAGAGAAACAAAAACGTCCGGAATGGCCCAACCGACCTAGCTATGCCCGAGTCTCCCCCGTTTCTTCTATCTATCGGGGGGGGAGAGGGGGAGAAATTAGTTTGATTTTTATTTCCTTTTTTTTTTTTTTTATCCAGCGGCTTCCGAGCTGCTTTCGGGAGCTGATCCGAGAATGAGTGACAGTCCCAGCCTCAGCACGCGGGCAGCAACGCGGATCCCTGCGCTGTCCCGGCTTTGGGGAGGGAGGCGGACGAGGCACTGCGCTGTGTTCTTCCACCCAGACTGGCCACCGAAATAGTTCAGTGCAATAGGCAGCATCCAGGAGGATGCTTGGAGGGGGGGGGTGGGGCGGGAGAGAGAGAGAAAGAGGAGGAAAAGCAGGCGGAACTGCCTAGAAAAGGTGGACTGGCTGCCTGGTGGAGGATCTGGATTCCTTCCCACTTCAAATAAAAAAAGGCTGTTTCCCCCTCCACCCCTTCATCTCCTCCTCCTCCTCCTCCTTTTAATTTTCCCCTTTGCAGACAAACATACACATTTGCATGATCTTCTCCTTTTTTCGGTGGTTAGGGGAATAAAAAAAACAAAAACCAGTGCATTTTTGTAAACTTGGAAGGATTGTGTATGTACATGTTGTAAGAGCAGGCATACTTGAGGGTGGGGTGTTTTATCCTCCCCCCTCTCATTTATCCCCAAAAAACGTAAACACGAGGACTGTTTTTACTTTGCCATCTATAGGAAACATATACAACTCCGAAGACATGAAACCATAAGAAGCCAATCGGCTTGGACAAAACCCAAAGCCACAGAAGGGGTTGAAATTCAAACCCAACTCAAAATAACATTTGGACCAGCAAGGATGGATTGGGGGGGGGGGGCGTGTCCAAATCAAACACTCAACTGCTGACGTTAGACAAAGTGTAGCATCTCAAGGCCCTCCAGAAGGAAAAATATGCCCACCAGCTGAACCCCTGAAACGTAAATTTCAAAGCATTTCTTCTAGGCAAGAGGTCCGCTCCACGCCCACCTGGGCATCTTCAGCAGGATTGGGACTACACCTCCCAGAATTCCTCAATGGGCTGATGGACCACTTGTACATGAAATCCTGATGCATCTGGAGCAGAGGTGGCATTCAGCAGATTCTGACCAGTTTTGGAGAACTGGTAGCCAAAATTTTGAGTAGTCCTGAGAATCCCACCTCTGATTGGAGATTTTACAGTCTCCTTCCCCTGCCACGCCCACCAAGCCACGCCCACAGAACCGATAGTAAACAAAAAAAAATGGAATCCCACCACTGATCTGGAGCTACCAAGTTGGGGAGGGGGGGTTTCCTTAGAAAAATCCATGAATTTGTGCTTAGATGGAGCAACCTAGGTAGAAGGGAGGGTAAATGCTAGAAAAAAAGCAGCTCTGGATAAAAAAAAGGTTCTAGATTTCTTCAGGGACCTTCATCCAGGAAGACAGGAGGATTTAGCAGAGCTCAACCAAGTATGATGAAAGCCAAATATGAACAACAGAATTGGAAGGGCCCTTGTGGTCTTCTAGTCCAACTGCTTCGCAAGCAGGAGACCTATAGACCATTTCTTATGGGTGGTTTAACTGATTTTCCTACACACAACAGGGGGTACGACTAGATGATCCTTGAAGTCTCTTCCAACTCTGTGTCAAAGAGCAGCAAGGCGGAGGACTTCCAACGACAAGACTTCATAGGGACTATAAGCTAATTGGAAGATGACTGTACCATAATTGCTTGTTCATTGGCATATTCTGGAACCATAGAACAATTTTATCTTTGAAACCCAAGATTTTTCACTCTCTAAATCTTGACGTCTTCTCATCAGGATGTTCTTGAAGCCAATGTTAGATTTTAGAAAAATCTCCCATTCATTGACTTGTTGTCAGAAGCCAACTGAGAAGCTCTCAAACGGCAATCATATCACCCTGGAATGCTGCGACCATCATAAATACATGCCGGTAATTCTCAGTGCCCAAGTTTTCATCACACGATCCTGGGAATGGCCATAAATGCAAAGACCGGTTGTAAGTCACTTTTTTTCAGCACCATACTAACTACGAGCAGTTGCTAAACAAGTGGTTGTAAGCCCAGGACTACTACCTGTAATCTCAACTTTGAGTTGGAAAAGAATGAATGAATGAATGAATGAATGAATTCTTTATTGACCAAGTGTGATTATACACACAAGGAATTTGTCTTGGTACATGTGCTCTCAGTGTACATTTTTTTAAAAAGATACATTTGTCAAGAATCATCAGGTACCACACTTAATAATAGTCATAGGGTACAAATAGGCAATCAAATCATACCAGGAAACAGTCCATATAAATCGTAAGGATACAAGCAACAAAGTTACAGTCATACAGTCACAAGTGGGAGGGGATGGGTGATAAGGAGTAATGAGAAGATTAATAGTAATAGCAGTGCAGACTTTGTGAATAGTTGGACAGTGTTGAGGGAATTAGTTGTTTAGCAGAGTGATGGCGTTCAGGAAAAACCTGTCCTTGTGTCTAGTTGTTCTGGTGTGCAGGGCTCTATAGCGTCGTTTTGAGAGTAGGAGTTGAAACAGTTTGTGTCCAAGATGTGAGGAGTCTGTAGATATTTTCACAGTCCTCTTTTTCTAATTCCCATTAAATGCCAGAAAGTCTGTAGTAAGTACCTTTGGAAAATCAGCCCTATCTTACTTGCTAATGTTGCTAAAACCATGGATAGAAGCGCAATCCTCAGAAGTTTAGCTTAGCCTGTGCAAAGTGTTTTTTTTTTCCCCTTCTATTTTTAATTATTCAGAGAACCACCCAGGAGAGGATCCATGTGAACATTTTGTTGTGATAATCTCATAAGAGGCAACACTGAGAAAGAGAGAGGAAGATACCAAAAGAGACTAAATTAAAGGTGCTTGAGGTTCAACTAATTGGAGGGAGGGGAAAACCCAATTATTTTCCACCAGTAACTTCATTTTTACCTAAAATACTAGCAAATACTTCAGTTGAAAACGCCCTTTTGTCATAACAAGCAACATAATTTGAGATGATTAACTGTTCTTTCTGCTTAAAAAGAGGCTTGAAAATGCAGGTAATTGTTTGCTTTTTGATTGCCAAGGAAATAATCAGAACTGCAAGATGGCATGTCAAAGAAAGCAGACCAACAAGTGTAAACTAATTTACGCATCTTATTAAACATATTTTTTTTAAAAAAAACTGAAAAGCAGAGAGGAAAATCTATGAGTAAGTAAGGCACGGAGGCCAACTCTGTGAATGTTTATCTGCTGCTGAAATACTTAAGAGCGCCTGAATGGGAAATCCAAGTGACATAACCTTGTTCAGATTTATACACTGCACTAAGTTCTAAGGCTGCTTTTGCGGTTTTAGCATGATGTGAAACCCAGCCAATCGTGGCTCGTAAATCATGATTTATGGCCTAAGAGAGTGTTTTCCAGCCTGGGCACATACATCTTGAAATGTGGACCAACTCCCCAAATTCCCATTCCTTCAGTTGTGGGATTTGAAATCTATAAAGGATGCCTGGATGGGTTATCACAATGTATAAACCAAGGTGGTACGGTTTGTCCAAGAGTCATGAATAAAATAAGCTATAATGTAAGGTAAGATAAAGTTTGTCCCCACCTCTGCTTCCTTAACAAGCTTTAATTCATGAACTCACCTTGGTTTTCTGGTTTTTATTCATCACAATCCATTAGAACTGCACCAGTAGCACTCATGGAGCAGAGATATTCCATGAGCATATTCTGGAAGACCCCAAAGTGCTTTCAGTGTACATTGTGGACTATTGTAGCTTCCAAACACTCCTTAAGACAGTCCTATGTAGGGCACATCGCAGTTATCCAACTGGGAGGATAAGCATGAATTACTGTGAGTAACTCATTAGGGCTCTCCAACCTTGGCAACATTTAAGATTTGTGGATCTTAATTCCTAGAATTCTGAAAGTTTAGACACTTATGCCAAGGTTGGACACTAATGTTTAGCTCTTTTGAACGTAAATAAATATGTCTATGAAGATTCTCAGTCATCCAGGTCATAGTTGTCCCAAAGGTGCTTTTTCAAAACTGAAAAAGTTTCCTGGATGAGAAGCAAAACATCTTCAAAGAAAAACCAGAAAGTCCAGTTGCTTCTTGAAAAAAAAAAGCACCGTTGGGTAAATAAGTAACGGATTCTCACAAATACCTTCTGTCATAAATCTGGACATAGAGCACACTATTCAGCACACTATGGTTAAATGAACCATGTTTTAATTAACATGGGAACCCAACCTTACTTTCTAAGCATATCCTCTACCACTGATCCTGGCTCCCTCCTTACATACTTTCATCATTCAAATTTGTTAATAATTATAATGATCACAGCTTATTCAGATAGGTGAAGAACTAATCAAGATCCCTCCAAGAGGCTATGCGTTACCTACCATTCCCCAAAATCTCCAGACAGATCAGGGACAACCTCCAATTGAAAAACCTGGAATGCCACAGCAAATTAGGGTAGACAGGATTTAGCCAGGTGAGTGAAGGATCCCATTTAGGCTACAGCAATTTCTTGCCATTTAGGGAGACAGAACAAATACAAACCATTTTTCAAATCACACATTTCAAGGATCGGTGTCTTGCAATTACCGCTCCGTTTTCCTTTGCAGGGATGACATTAGTGTCAGAGGAGGCCGCAAGGAGCATCAACTGTCAAACCCCACCAGGAGATGAAAGAATATCAGGGCATTACTTCCCTCTTGTTGGCGGGGAAAATTACTTCATATCTGTATCACACCAATACCAAAGTTAACAGATACCATCACAACAAATACGATACAACAGCACAGAAGTGAGGTTGGTGACTCAACAAGTGAGAGATCCTTCTTTTTCTCTGAAAAAAGAGAGCCACGCATCTGAAAGTTGTCAAACCACCTTCTACGTTTCAGCTACAGCTGTAAGTGAGCTGAGACAGGGTTCAGTTTTACATGTAATGCTAAGCCACATTTAAACATGGTTTAGAGCTGTATGGATTCCTAACCCCCATGTTATTTCAATGAAAGTCAGAAGCTGGGTCATCTTCTGTTGATGGTCTTCAGATGTCCTCTTGTCTATGTTACCCATCTAGACAGGAGGCTAAACTTTAGCCAAACCAAAGTTCCTGAAAGG